TTGAGGAGCTTTGCTTTGGGGGCTTATCTTTAACTACTTAGTCAGACCTAATCCTGCTTAGCTTAGCTCTGGGAAAAATCACAAACTGATGAGGAGGTAACCAACACTTCTGATTACTTCTCACTTGTTAAATATAGTTTGTGCAACCCCGAGGAAATTGCAGCTTTTTCTCTTGCCAGCCTTTCTCATGACCATCATCGCATTTTCATGAACTCTCATGATCCCACAGCAAAGTGAGTGAAGTGCATATTTCCTCTGTATAAGTTGTCTATAGTGCATGAACAGCATATTTTTCTCATCTTAGTTTTCCATTTCTTGCTTGTAGAAACAATACAAGGAATGAAAACTGAACTTCAACAGCAATGGTTTTATCTGTATGCATTTTGATAATACCAAGTGTGCTTGTGAAATCTCTCTTCTACTTCAGCAACTGCTAAGTTCTCTGAGGAGACATTTTCCAGGTTTTAGCTTTGAAAGGAAGGCTGCTGCACTAAGCTGTTACCATGAAGCCGTGCCTGGTACAGACTGACAGGCCAAAAGGGGCTTCAGTCAACTCTCAACACCTTTGTCTTCACTCTTTCTGTATTGCAGGGCATGTTCTAGTATTACCATCTCTTGCACTGGTTAAAACTGACTTAGGCTCATTCCTTATGTTCCAACAAATGCAATACTTTGCATTCTGTCCCCTTTCTTCTCCACACAGAGTATACATAAGGTAACACTTAAAACAATTTACCTGTAGGGTTTCAGTGCAATCCCATTCCACCCTAATCTGATTGCTTTCAGAAAGCTAATTGTGCCTTCTAGCAAACACGTCTGCTGCTCTAGCCTTGCCCAGCCTTGTCAAGGCAACCACATTGTATTTTGGAAGAAGAGCCACACCTGGAAATTGTCATACCTGGAAACTGCACATTCCTCTGTCAAATGGTTTCAAGGAGCTGAATTACCAGTTTTTTAATGCATCTGTGAATAATGTATAGTCATTCATAATGGAGATAAAATTTCTGAGGGGGAAAAATTATGTGAGTATTGTAACTAGGTAGACTACACCTAAGTGTAGGATACTCTGGCTGCAGAACAGGAATACATTAGAATCAACATAAGCAGCTTTTGTCACAGAGCAGTGATGGGTTAAAGATCACTGCTAGCTACCAAGATCTTGGTGTGATCACCTACTCCAGAGACTTAAAGCAGACTGAGCAACTGCACCAGTAAACACCACTAAGAAACAGCTTCAGCTTCTGCTATTTTGAAACAGTCAATATATGAATAAAGATGGGAGTGGCATAAGGATTAAACCCAAGAGTATGAAAGCTTGGAAGACCTTATTCCATTTAACCTCCCTGCTGGGCATCAAATGTAAGACAAGGCTAAATGCACATCCTTTTCTTCCATGTTGACTAAAGCTCTGGAGCAATGAAAGGTATTCCTTATCTGTAGTAGCTTACAGCCTGAAAAAAATGCAGATAAAGAAAACAGGAGGGTAAGACTAAACAAAGACAAGGGAAGAGTGGCACAACCAAGTGCTGCTGCAATTACCACCTAGCTTGAAGCTTGAAGAAAATGATGTTGATGACATTAAATTTTATAAAAACCCAGAAACAACAAAATATCCAAAGCATCTCTGTCACATTGCACTGCAAATCTGCACAGTAAGTGGGAATTAGAAAAAAATATAAATTTGGTTTAAAAATACCACTAAAAATACTTCTATAAAACCTGGGCTTTAATCCAAAGCACAAGCACAGCCAAGGCTGGCTCTGCTCAGTAATCACAGTACAGAGCAGCTTGCTTTGTGTTCACTTTGCTTTCAAGTATTTAGAGCTTCCTAAAGCATAGATCACAATACATGGAGGTTTATTTCTTGATGCAACAATACAGGAAGTGGGTACCATAAAAAAAGAACAGCATGTTAAAAAAAAAAAAAGCCTCACAGTCCTGAGCAGCTGTGAGGCAAGTGCTTGTGTTTGACTTTGCATTTCAAATACTAGTATTTAAAATGATGTAGATCAGGAACTCAGCCAGTGCTTGCTAACAGATTTGGCTTGCTTTCCAGCTCTCTCCAGCCTTTAAATAGCAAAAAAGCAAACTGAAAATCCCCAAGGCTGTACTTTCTGAGCCTACCACATGCCTGTGCTCAGTAATCATCAAACTGAAAGATACTCACCAAGTCCTCAAAACCACAAATCATACAGAAAAAATCTATCACGCTGAGAGCTGAAGTATGGTCCTATGACAAGAATTCGGTTTATAATAAACCCGGATTTGGAGAAAGAAAGGGCAAATTAGTTTCAATTGATGTCACTATTACTTTCACCTGAATGTGAAATATGCACTACTCTTTACAAACATGGTGTTTCAGAGCTTCAGGGACTGGCAGTATGGATGTGATACTGCTCCTCTGAAACAGTAGCAATGTTTTCAATTACCCTAACCTGACTTATTGCCATCACAGGCACTGAGGACAGGCTGTAAGAAATCTATGCACTAGCTTCACAGCCAGACAGCTTTAAATGGATAGACAGACATTAGCTAGTGCAAAGGCAGCTGAACATTAATCCTCTTGGTAGCCTTGCTAAAATCCTGTGCAAAATTCCCAGCACCTTACAAGGCTTTTTTGTGCACACAAACATTCAAAAGTAAGGTAAGTAGGGGTTTACCTGTGTAGATGAGCATGTGTGAGCATGTACACACATCCACCACCTTCTGATACGAAGGCCTCTTCTTAAGGGCCACTACAAAACAGCACATACAGGCACAGCTACATAAAGACAAGAAGGAAGCTGGAACAGGCACGAAGAAAAGCTGTAGGGTGAAGGACACTACATGACTCTCATCCAGGTGAGAAAAGGAAACGTGCACTGTAGCAACAACAGCAACGCTAACATCAGAGGGCAATGTGGATGAAACTGAGCAGACTGCGGCAGCTCCATCCACCCAAACAATCAGGACTGCTCACACAGGTCAGAGCAGTACTTTATCATTCACTGAATTCCTTCAGCATAACTTACAGGAAGAGCATACTTTTAAAATCAGTAATTCACACACAAAATCAGAAATTCACATAGCAACTTACAGAAATAATCAACAAATTATTCCCAATGTTCCTACAATTACCCTTCCCTAAACCTAAAACAGATACTGTAAGTAACAGGTAAATGTAACAAATAGGTAAATTCAATTTAGTCATGGGGAACTCTTGACAAAGATAACATTATGCTGGGCGTCACGCTATTGTTCTCCTCTTAAAATCAAGTTCTGCAATTGTTTTCATTAAGAGCAGGATTAGACTGACAGATCAAGAGTATCTAAAAGTCCTTACTCAAAGCAGAGATCTAAAATCAAGTCAGAACAGACTGAGAGAGAACCATATTTCATTTAACCTGAATGCCAAACACTTCTCCTTTGCACATGCTGGGATTGAAGGCAGATGCTCTTCACATCCATTATTCAAAATGGAAGTGTTACCTTTTAGTGCTCAGATTTCTATCAGCTCATGCCAAATCACAGGAGAAAAATCCATGCAGCCAGGAGCCAGGCAGAAATGAAACACTTTACGCTTTCTAATAATATGACGTGCCATGTGTTCCAGGACATTTTATTTCAGCATCATCCAATTTCACTGCTGTGAAATCTATGTAATTCATGCATGTCACTCCAGGCTTACAATGAAGTCCAGGCTGGGAGCATTATGAAGAACCATCAGCACAGGCCATTGGACACTGACTTGTCTGCCATGTTTCTTGTACAGCCTGGCTGTTATTTGCAGTCAGACAAGGAGAGACACCCAGCCTGTTTGCACTTTGATTTAGTGAGAAAGCACCCCTCCCTTAAGAAGATACATAAAACAAGGATGTCCATCCTAATTCTCTTGTGATGGCTTTTTACTTTGCTATTGTCTCAAGCTAATTAGAATTTAAGCCCTTTTGGATGGTATGTTTGAGATACTTACGTATTTATTCTATTGACTGATTTCACACACTCTTAAAATAAATATAATTTTTAGGTAAAAGTACAAGAAGAAATGACCTAATGGCTAAAATTCCATCTTAAAATTAGGAATAAAATGCAACCAGGCACAGATTTACTGGGCAACAGTCTTTACTCCTCTCAGTATCCCTACGTGTGAATGATGGATTAAGACATTGCTCTCATTTCATTAACTGCTCTGAGGCTTTCAGTACACAATGCATTATTCTGGTCACCAAGAAAACCATACTTGTTTTACAGTGTGATGTCCCACACTAAGTAGCAAACGTTCCTTTCTCTGGATAAACACTTGTGACACCTCCCACCCCTTTGGCTGACATACAAACTGACAAAACTGAGCACAATGGGCTCTTGTTACTTCCCAAAGTCTTTCAACTTCAACACCCAACAGAAACAAACATTGCTGGGTACACAGTACAGGAACCCCAGTGATACTGAAAGATCTCACTGACCATGTTGTCCAGCAGCTGAGGTAGTGGCTGTTGCCCTGTACTTGGGAGGGTCTCCAATGACAGGCAAGGCAGTGCCTTGGGTGGAGGTTATAATATGTTGGGCATTTTATACCAAGCTCCTTCCCTCAATTTCAGTGGATCTACAACACAGGCATCTGGTGCTGAACTATAACCATCTCCTAAATACAAGGAACACACTGTAAGACAGGTGCAGTCATACAGGAACCTCGGGAAATTCAGAAATGGTCAGCAGAGTAACTCCAGAACGGGTGGAATCAGCCACTTACCGACCAGTGCCCTCCAGTGGCTCCCAGAGAAACTGAAGGAACTGAAGACAAGAACCTGTTTTCAGACAGGTCAAAGACAACACAATTGTATCACTAATGGAAAGAAAGCAAATGCTGACATCTGGACACCAAACAGCTCTTTCTAAAATTCATGTTCTTGCATGGCAACCTTATATCTATCATTACATACCACCACCAGAAAAATCTACATTCCATCAAGTGAATAAAATATTAATTGCAAGCCTTGTAAAATGAGACAACAGAAACCAAATTGATTCCCAAGACAAAAATGTTTATTTCTACTAACTCTTCAAACAGGTATACATTCAACATCTCTAAACAAAATCAGTACATATGATGAGGGCAAGTTGAGTAAGTATCATTAGAATGTAATGCCTTCCTTAGCAATTGAAGTTCATAACCCAAGAATTAGTTACAAATTTATGAACCCCTTACACAGGGGTTAATGATTTCAGTAAGACTATCCCAGCACTAGGCAAAACAGAGTGTTTGCAGAGCAGGCTCATTCAATTCCAGTACCATGTCACAGTCTTTTAATGACCAGTAAATATTAGTGGGGGAAAAAATACAGAGTGCCAAGCTGAGTGTTCTCCAGCACTAAAAAGCAAATGCAAATAATGAACTATCAATAGAAATTTAAATAAACTATTTTAGTTATTTTAGTTATTGAAACCTCAATTTTTGTCTGAAAAAAAGAATATTGTAACAGACTGGAGGAAAGAATTCCATAAGAACCTTTTCTCTGGATTTGCCTTAGAATACAAGCTTCTCTACAAAACAAGAACAATTAAGATTTGAGACTTTCAGTGGTAGAAGTAGTATTGGAATAATAAAGAAATAATTTAAAAATATATATTAATTTACCACATTTAGCTCATATAGCCCTTTATGTATCTTACAAAATGCTACTGTCCTACATACTGCATGTAAAAAAAAAAAAAGTTTATATATAGAATGTATATGTACACATACAAAGCAAAAGCCACCAATTTGGTATTAAAAAAAACAAAAACAGAACAAAACAAAGCATAAGCAAACACACTGAAAGTTATGCAGTAATGAGGAGTGTATGCTCCATGTGTGCGTTAGCATAACAGTGCTTCCAACCTTAAAACATCCTCTTAAACATCTAAGCAGAGTGCTTGCTCAGAGTCAGCTCAACCACTGATGTTCCCAACTGCCAAAAATGTCTGATGTCACTTAACTTACGGCCATCTCTTATGTTTAGCACTAAATCAGAAGTAAGGCAAAATAACTCTTCACATCCCTGAATATCTGAGGACATTCATGAGATCTTTCAAATATTAATTCAAAATAATACAGGAGCACAAAAAAATGGTACCCCTAAGGGGAAGGGTCTTCCTGTCTACACAAAGTTGTCCCAAAGCTTCCCTATTTCAGAGTAATCCAGATTATGTAAGTATGACAGTTATTCCCAGGCATCCTCTTTAGCAAATTTGGAAAGATAACCTGAAGTTTCAGGATGGGTGCTCATGATTCCTGGTCTAAAACCACCACTGAGAACAGTGAACACCAGTTCTGATACTGCTCAGATGTTAGGCATGGACATTCAGAGCAGATGGGCAGTCTCGTTCTATAAATTCTAATGCCTACCCTTATCTCCTAGTTTGAAGAAGGAGTCCACTCTTAATGTGCCTAGCATATATTTCACAAAAACCCCACCCCACACTTAAGTATACAAGAAAAGCAAAACAGATTTTACTTATCTATCTTCTCTTGCATCAATCTTAAAAAAAAATAAATCTAAAAAGACCAACCAAACCAACCCCCCCACCCCTAAACTTCATAAAATCACAAATTTTCCAATAACAAATAAAATTAACCTCCCTGATAAAACAAAGGTTTCTGAAAAAAACCTAGTTGAGATCCCTGGGGAATAAAAGAGATGGATGCCTTGAGAAGCTTTCTGGGAGATTAGTTGTAAAGGATTTGATTCAGCACCCGTAAAAGTTTTGTCCAGTGAAAGAGTAACTCCAGAACTGGGGAGGCTGGATCAGGACTACAGCCCAGGGGACGTGCCAGTGACTGGCAGGCAGTGAAATGAATGCAGTCATCGTACTGGCCACAACCCTCCTGAGGACACAAGCACGTGCTGTACCAGGGAATTCCCCTGGCAGTCCTTGGAGCGCTGTGTGGAGCCCAACCCTTTGCAGCTAAGCTAAAAACACAGCAGAACAACTTGGAGCAGTGGATACCCAAGGCTGTTCTTCATCACCCAACCAACAGCAGCAGTGAAGAACAACCACAGGTAAAACAATAAAATGAACTGTAGGCTCTAGGGTTCGGAACCTCCAGGTCAACACCTCTGGCTTGCTTTGGGGAATGGGATTCTGAAGAGCCTAACACAAAGGAATAGTAAGGGAGAAATACAAAAATGCAAGGATTAAAAAACAGAAGGGGTGGCAATGATCCCCCTCTAGAATATTCCCTTTAAAACAGTGTAATTAAAAACTTTAAATTCACTTAGAAATTGGTTTCAAAGTAGCTTGACAATTTCAACAACTTTCAAAAATCAAAATATTCTTCATTGAAATACCCCTGTAGCCCCATGAATAACTGCTACAACTTGTTTTGCATTAACATTGCTTAAATTAATATAGTCATAAGCATGCAAAATGTTAACATTTAATTGTGTATACAGAATAAAGCAAAGTTCTAACAGATTCCTAATATTTCAAGGTTACACGCTTGATTCAGCCTCTGATCAAAACCACTGGGATTCTTCCCAATGTGCCAGCGGATTTTGGACCAGGCTTTACAAGGAGACAAAAAAGCATTGTGTTTTATGGTGTAGGAGCAAACTCAAAGTACACTTTGTGTATATATAGACCAGGCATGTAGTGCAACTGTTGTATTGTGTATCTCAGAAGAGTTGCATGTCAGCCAGCAAAAGGATGATCACCAAGCCAACACCGCGTGCTGTGTCAAACCAGGCTGGGGAACCAACACCGACACCCGCTCACAGACATTCTTCTTGTTCCTGTTGCCCAAGAGCAGCTTTGAACAAAGCTTAATGACAGCTACATCCACATGAACCCAGACACCAATTCAAAAGGCAGAAAGCTGCATTAGTACAACAGCCTGATGGATTTTACATGTGCTCTGGATGATTTTGAAGGCAGGATATTATGTCTTTAACAGGTCTCCCTTCATAGCAGATTTGATACACAGCTGTGAAGAGTGGAAACCTGAGGAAAGAGGGTGGGGAAAGTGAACACAGTGTAAATTTATTCTGTAATATTTTCTTAAATGAAAAAACATAAAGGGGTGAGGAGAGGGAGGGGGAAAAGGGAGAGGTGGAACAAGTTATTTCTTTTTTTTATTTGTCAGGTGCAAATGCTGGGCTGAAAAGCAGGGTGTAACTACAGAACCTGCACACATCTCTGAAACGGAGTGACTCTCAGAAGCCTAGCTAGCTATAATGAAGCCTGAGACATTAATTATGTATGGCACAACCATAAAGTGATATAAAAAATAAATTTAAAACATTTTTCCTGGCTGTTCTTACAGCAGTACCCATCTGTGGTTAAAAAGGATGACTGGCACATCCGTTATGCAGTAGTTCTCAGCAATAACCTGATAATACAGAACATGACAAAAAAAGAACCAGGAAGACACTGAAGGTAAAGTTTTCCATAAGAACTGAAAATTAAACCTGGATTCTGAAATACAAAATTCTACACCTACTTTTTTCTTTTTTTTTCAGATTGGCCACATCTCCAACAACCTCCAAATAATTCAGACTTCTCTGATAATATGAAGGTTTGTTACAGCCAAGATGCTTTAGAGAAAGTTGTATTTGCTTTCTGTCCATCCCAGACAGTAACAGCCAGACAAGTTCAATTTTCATAGAAAGCCTGGTAAATTTTAGGGGTTGATCTGCTCATCAAGTTTGTATACCATTTCAGCATGGCTTTTTATACTGATGAATGGAAATATTTACACTGACCAATGGAAATAAAAAACAAGAGTCATTGGAGATGGTGAAATAGTTAATTTCTGAGTGATTCAGAACACAACTGGATTAGGACCTTCTCCTTAGGAAATGTGTCCCACCAGTCACTCTAAAGCTTTATCTGTAATGCCCATTTCAGTGCTGAGCAGTACTGAGCACCATGTATGATGGCCTATACATTCTGCTGTCACGTATTACATTGCAGTTGTGCTGCCATCAGCACATCACCAAGAACTAGACCAACTTGAGTTTTGTTTCTACTTGATTGGTGAAAAAAAAAATTATCACACAGCCACATAGCTGCTCTCTCAAATCCAATGCTAAACTGCTCAGATTGCAAAACCCTTATTAGGAAATCTGCAGAAAAAAAATGAACACAATGACTTCTGCATTTCTTAAAAACCTCACTTACCACTCTGTACGATGTACTGGGCTGAAGGGGGTTACATTTGCTGTTGCCATAAAAGCTCATGTGTAGGCACTAACAACATTTGCTATGACTCTGAGAGGTGGCCACAAAACAGGTGAACCTTATGAAGAGAAAGCAGGTTTCCCCCATAGCATTAGGTACAGTACTGGCAGTTACTTCTCAGTGAAGAAGCACCGCTACTACAAATCAAAACCTAAGTCCTGCTCCTTATCCCAGAGAACATCACTGTGCACAGCTGTGCCACACTTCACGTGGAGAAACCTGTACCAAGGCTGACTGCAGGCTCAGGGCCAGCAAATTCCAAATGCATCTTAGGCCTGAGCACACCAAGAGAGCAAGGACTACAACTGTTGAAAAAAGTAATTGCACCACGAGTGTTAACAGGCATCAACCCTGCTACCAAGGCTCTTCTGAACTTTGACTTTTGCACACTTCTAGCCTTGGGAATAGTTTTGTAGGACCAGAGTATGAAATTCTACCCTTATGAGACTCTTTCCTCTTCACTTTGAAACGATGGCTGCTCCACTGTGCATTATGTTTTAAAGCAGTAGTTTTTGAAAAACATTTTGAAAGTTACTTTCAAAAGTCTTGTTGAATGAGACTTTTATGAAGAACTGACATTTCCTTTGGCATACCAAAAGGAAATTAGCAACAGTGTTTTAATGTCTTTAATCAAAAACGCAACCCAAAATCATCTATAATGCACTTAATATATATGTTGGCATACCAAAAGGATATTAGCAACAGTGTTTTAATGTTTTAATGTTTTAATGTAATAATGATATTAGCAACAGTGTTTAAATGTTTTAGCAACAACCCAAAATCATCTATAATGCACTTAATTTGTTGTAAGATAGAACAGGATACAAAACAACCCTCAAACACAACATCCTGTTTCATTTAGGGAATCATAAACAGTAAAGAATGAAGCCAACATTTTAATTAATTTTTTCTGCAGTCAGCTTAATAACTGAACACTGAGTTGATAGACTTAGGTCCCTTACATCCAAAGATAATACTATAACAGTAATTATTTAATGCAGGTGATCCATTAAAACTAGACTTTAAAAAATGCTTTTGAAAAAAAAAAGTAAGAAGGGTTGGTCTTTTGACTGGCTGTTTTTAAATTTCTGATTTTTCCTCTTTAACAAACAGGAACAGATAAATGTATCCCTTAATCTTTTAAGGAGACAACTGTGTGTGTGTGGCTATAGGAATCATTCATGTTCTGACTCGAATACAAGTGAACCAAGCCAGGACAATCTACTTAATTTCACACCACAAAAAACTACCCTAATCTACAGAGGCATATTGGAAGTTTTAACCTACAGCAAACTGAAAGTCACATTAAGAAGGAGAACTGCAGTATCTAAGCTAGAATCCATGTGGTAGAGGCAGTCACTCTATAGAGATGATCACCAAGCTCCTCTCCTTGGAGGTAAGTATTGAATTTCCTACAATTAAATGAGACGTAGCGACTTTTCAGAGTCTCTTTGGGAAGTTCTGCTTCTACTTTCATGCATTTTTTTTCTTTTCACATATTAAAACACATTTGCTGTGCTTTTGTGTAGTAGCAGAAGGCAACAATACACTCTGCGAACAGAAGGATATTCACAAATTTAACGTCACACTAACAGCTCTATCTACATCAACATTATTTTCAGGTTCTATTCACTTCTCTTTGATTTTAACTTCTAATTCACTGTTATTACAGTGATTTTCTTTTTGGCTCTTACTTTTATGAAGATATCAAAAACAAATATGCAGAAAGAATTATGGAGATAAAAAAGGGGTACGTGAGAATTGTTTTATCTGTTCTTACTCACTTGTCTAGCATTCCTTTCTGCTTCAGGAGCTGATACACTTCTGCAGAAGTCTGTGGTCCTTGGAGTTTCTGACCATTCAACATTTCTTTCTCTAATTCTTCAATAGACTAAGCAGGAAAGTGAAAAAAAAAAGAAAGCCAAGGAGAGGTATGATAAACTTTTGAGAAGCCTGACAACATAATCTGGATGAAAAAAAAAAAGTTACTGAGACTTTTTTCTTTTTCAAAAGTAATCTTGAGTGAGCATATAGAATATTCTCCTATGTTCTTGTAAGTATTCTTAAATTTGCATCTCACATTGTCTTATCTCTCAAGCTTTTTTTTCTTTTTCAAATCACCACCGGCCCACCTTTTAATACCTCTACACTCATTCTAGCCAACAGACTCAGAAAACAAGAGGAAAGAGAAGGGTGCCCACTCAGTGGGCCACAATGACTCAGATAACTCTACAAACAAGGAGTGGCAGTACTTATAGGAACAGATTTCACCCAGAGCATTAGGTACCTTTCCAGTTTTAACGAATGCTTCTGCTACACGTCGATTCCGGCCACCGTAACACGTTGTGATGAGATCAGCAATGCCACAGCTCTCCAGGAAAGTGGCAGTAGAAACCTGTCCTTTGCAAAAAACTTTGGCAAAGGCGATCATCTCCATTAGGCCAAGGCGAATAACAGCAGCTTTGGTATTGTCACCGTAGCTAAGGCCATCACAGAAACCAGCTCCTACTGCTACAACATTCTAATAGGAAGAGAAATGGGAAACGACTCAATTACTGCTTACAGATGTCCTTAAGAACAGCAAGTACTTTACTACTGAAAAACTAGGTTGCTAGTTTGAGTTATTTTGGTTTGGGGACTTTGATGTCTACAGGATAACCTTAAAAAAATTTCAAAAAAAGGGCAAAACATTTCTAAGGACAAAAACATATCCAGGGATAAAAACATAGTTAAAGCTCTGACACAAGTTGTCCCTGAGGCTGTGGAGCTATCATTACTGACCATCTTTAAGAACAAACAGGTTGCACTACACCCAAACAAAGTTTTAGCTAGATTAAGCTACTTCTGCCCTGAGGTAGGGGTGAAGTTAGACACCCATCTTACAGTCCCTTTATCCAGATTTTCTTAATGATTAAAGCAATAGTACAGCTAAAAAGCATTTACTGAATTCTATGATGTTATAGGTAATAAATGATAATGCCAAACTAATAATCAAAAAATAGGTTTTTATTTCACAACTGAGATTCGGTCTCCGATAGCCACAATCAAAGGGACAGCATCGAGCCGGGATCGGCGCTGGGTGAACTCTGATCAGAACTCGACTGCTTCAGATCCCTCTGTTCACAAATGTTGTCTCTGTCGGGTAAGTTTTTATACAGTTTTTTTCTGCCTGGGGCAGAGTTTCTCTTATTCTTTTCATTACTTCACATATTCATGCAGTCTCCGTGCTGGGCTGGACAGAACCGTTTCTGGGAAGCGATGAATGCTGACTGTGTTACGGGAACCAGGTATTGGAATGCATGCTCCTGACGACTCTGCCTATCTTGACCATATATACTTATCGAGTATTCATCACTTGGGTGTTTCCTGGACTGGGAAAGGACCCATCTCCCCACAGCCACGTCTTTTTGTTTGTTAATTAGGTCTTTCTTTCCACTGCCATCTGTGGTTTTGCAATTTGTGAAGCAATCTTTCCCTGGCTGCGGCTTGTGGTTTTAAATCTTTAAGAATTTTTCGTACAAGCACAACTTATTTCACGTATATTTTACATAAGCACGAATTATTCCATAACATATATTAACATATGATGGCATGCTACAGGACCAAATTCAGCCAAGCCAATAGTACCCAGCCCTTTTAAGTACTCAGAGTTTCTATAACCATAACAGTTAATAAAGGATTCCCAAAAGGTTAATGACACAGGAAGAAGACCTCCCTTAGCAAAAAATAAATGTTTGCTTTTTTTGTAGACCTGCTGACAGCCTTCTCGAAAGAATGTGCTGTTAACAATCAGCTACATGGTCCTTGCTTTGGTTACAGAACACAGATATTTGATGAGACACATTTGAGTGAAGCGACTATAAAAACTATTTTCTGGTTTGGGAGTCAGAGCAGACACTAGCCATGGTTCCACTATCCCCACTAAAAAAATCCATCTAACACAACAAACCCTACCAAAACCCTCCGAAAAAAGATGGCATTCTGACATCTAGATAAAACAAACAAGGAAGTAATGAATGTTAATATCTTCCTGCATGCAACAGCAGCAGCAGCGATCTCAACACAATGCACAGGAGAACCAACGTTATGACTCCTAATGGAGCACCCGATGCAGGACAAAAAATAAAATTAAAAAATCAACTTTAACTGTTGATGAAGAAAGAACAATAATCAGAAGATGTTACTGAAAACAACCACTGATTAACAGCTGGTTTGATGTTGGACTGTAAGAACCAGAAACGCCAGGCAGCTGCAGAGCTGTGTGGCCAGCCATGGCTAGGTGACTCTGAATCACATGAGGCTACAGGATCAGTCACTGCTTTTTGAGCAACAAGCTGAGGTCTAAAGGTGACCCGAAAAATTGCAGACAGATATCCCAACATTAGACCTGAGGTAGTGCAAGACAGTCAACTTTAAAATTTGATTGTTTAAATCATCTTGGCTTAGATCTTGGCTGTGGTGATTCAGTCAAGGTACATTTTCATCAGGCACCTCTTGCAGAGCAACCTCTAATACTTTTTCATTTGATGCCAAAGCAAGAGGAAGTCAAACAGATACGTAAGAAGTTTTCAGACAGGATAACCCATTCAAATGGATCTTACATGTAAGTGAAATCTGTAAATATTTATCACTCAGCTAAAAACACAAACGTGAACGAGCAACCTTTGAGCTTTTTCCATATACTTCTTGAACACTCCCATACTAAAGCTTCCCCTTCCCTCCAGCTTTATCTGCTTGACTTTCCACTTGGAAGCAGTCTACTTGATCATAATTTACAATACGATTTGGCCTACGGTATTTTGTTGTCTATTTGTACCTTTTGCAGTGTTGGTCTTTGGACAACAGAAATACTCTTTTAAATAAGTTGTACCAAGACTAGTTACATCTGAGGAAATGGGCTAGGGAACAAGGGGAGTTGTTCTAAAACACTGAGCTACTTGTTTGTACAATGTTCCCATTGTATGTTCTTACACAGTTTGCAAAAAATGAGGAAACAAGACAACTGGAACGCACCCCCATGCCTAGGAGACTGTTATGTCCTGGCATACATATCCCTCAAGCCACAACAATTAATTTACAAGGTCTACCATCTGGTTTTATTTAAATCCTTGAAGAATCTCTGACAACTGTCTTGTGCCTAATATACTGTAGAGAACTAATTATACCACATTGAAAATTATACCTTACTCAAAGATGAGGCACCCGTTTAAAAACAACAATGACAACAAAAAATCTCCCAAAACTCACAACTCAGTTACCCTTCAGTCCCAAACAAGAGGACTGTTTGCTGTCCCAAGACAGTTTGCTACTTGAAATCTCTGGCTGTAGGCACTAAGCTGAGCTTGTTTCAGGAAGATGCACAAGCATGAGGCATGAAGGGTGACTGACCTGGCAAATACATATTTCTGCATTTCATATCGTTGATTTTGAATGCTGCCACTGACAAAGACTACCTGAAGTGTCCTGGTTTCAGTTAACTTCCTTCTTAGTAGCTAGTACAGTGCTGTGGTCTGAGTTCAGTATGAGAATAATGTTGATAACACACTGGTGTTTTGGTGGTTTGCTAAGCAGTGCTTACTTTAAGAAAGGACTTTTTCATGTCTCATGCTCTGCCAGTGAGGAGGTCAACAAGAGTCTGGGGAGGGGGCACATAGCCAGGACAGCTGATATGAACTGGCCAAAGGGATACTCAGTACCACAGAATGCCATGCCCCACGTATAAACTGCAGGCAGTTGGCTGGGAGCCATCAATCACTGCCTGGGGACAGGCTGGGCACTGGTCAGTGGGTGCTGAGCAACTGTAGTGAGCATCACTTGTTCTTCTTGGGTTTTCACTCTGTCCTTCATTACAATTACTATTACTACTGCTGATCTTGTTACTGTATTTTCCTTTATTTCAATTATTAAACTGTTTGTATTTCAGCCCAGGAGTTTTACTTATTTTCCACTTATTCTCCTTCCCATCCCTGATAGGGGGCAGTGGGTTAGTGAGTGAACAGCTGTGTAATACGTAGTTGCCAGCTGGGATTAAACCACAGCATGAAGTTAGATGAACTCCTGCAAATGCAGTGGGTATGTCTTTGTGCAAGAGTAGAGAGTCCACATTTCCATAAGATTAGAAACTGACTGTATTTGCATGCACACATGGGAGTCTGAGAGCCCAAACTGTCACAATAACACCAAAAGGACTGCAACACAATGCTCCTCTTGAGAGCCCAATAAGCAAGTGCTTACTGACAAACAGGTTCAAAGCTACTGTCACAATAACCCCAAAAGGACTGCAACACAATGCTCCTCTTGGCCTGAGGCATTCAGAGCTCTCAAAATCACTACATGCTTAAGCAAACACACTTCCCCTATCTTGGCATAAACAACTTTTTGCATGAAAGCACACATCCTGTAACCATGATTTACAGTGTGGTTTTATATTGCATTCGGTTTTAAGCTACTGAAATACTTTGCCCTAATAGGCGAGCTGTTCTGGTATCCTGAAGCTGGTGTTAGTCCTAGTTATTCTAGAACATGAACAGGAATGGATTTAGTTTTTTTTTCCCCTGGGATAGTGAAGCTATGCTCCAGAAAAGAAATGCTGATGCCAGGCAGTGCTCACAGTATGCGTAAGAACAAATGAGAGAATGTGTCCTTTACTTGCAGACAACCTGCTGCAAACATTCAAGAGGTCACAAATGCAAGGTCAACAGATGACCAAGAAAACAAGGACAAGTGTGCAGACTTTGCAGACAGATTGTTCTCCTACAGAGTCAGTCCTCAGAAGTATCCAATATCCAGTGTACAGCATGTTTGTGGAGCGCTCATGAAGACAGTTTCAGCAGCCATTACTTCTCCACAATTAAAGAGAGTAAGAGAACTAAGCAGAAATATTATTTCACCTTCCTTGAGGCAGTGTCACAGCTCAGCATAGCCTGCTTTCCCTTTGTTTACACATGAACTTGGAGAAACTCATTGCTTCCCCTGATAGTTGAGAAGAGGTCAAATGAAAAGACTCAAAAAATCAAAGACAGTATCAGCAGGGCTGTCAGAGAGGTTAAACTGTTTGCTTGCTCCTGGTGAACTTGAATTTCATTTCCACTTAATCTCAGGAAAAAGGAAAAAACTCTTACAATCAACTTCTGGAGTACCTACACTGATTATTCAACAGCGACTGCCTTAAACACACTTTGCAAGTAACAATGCTGAGTTACATAACCTGGCAAACAATAAATCCTCACTATACTTCTTTACTTAAGGCTTAGCTGAAGCTGGAAGGTTTAGATGAGCCTGAAGCAACCTGAAAGGCAACCCCAGCTGCTGCTGCTTCTCCTTCCTACAGTAACTCACATCTGTCTTGGTACTTGGCTGCTGCCACTTGAGGGTTTTTAACTCTCCAGATCTGTGATCATCAGGCAGCTGGAGCACGGCTGTTTATCCATATCCAGAGGTTAGATTCTCAATCCTCCTTCTCTCAGCCACCTCTTGCACTGCTACACTAGGTAAGTGAGGTAAACTGGGGTATGGTTTACCCCCAAGATTGCAGCAACCAGTATTTACATGGCCTTTTAAGGACGTGGCCAGGTTTGTACCCCAGCTCAGTCTGGCCTCACATCTGTGCTGCTTCTAACACCAGCCTGGCACAAGTGGTAAGGACTCTAAGGACACCTCTGAGGTGACAACCTTAGGTCCATGCTGTTCTGCAGTATCACATCCACCAGTATCCAACAGCACCTCCATATGTGAGCATAGCTGCACATACTATTTTTAGGTGACATAACCTTTAAACATTTTCTAGGAAGGCCCATTCTTCATCTGGCAAATGGCAGGTGTACTTGTAGGTGGCCTTGAGTCATCCTGCCTGTAAAGCCAACTGGGCACCTTGAAACAACTATCCAGATTTCAACTTTATCAATTTCTGTTCTCAGCCCTTAGAAAAGGTCAGCAGACAAATGTGAAATGTTCATCAGTCCTCAAAAGAAAAAAATATCCTCACAAAGAACATGCCAAGCACTTTTTGTTCCAACAGCCAGGTTACAGTAGAAAGCTGCTCCTCCTCAGTACCATCAGATTTTGCAAAGTCACTGCCACTGTCTATTCAGCCAGTCTCCAAGCTGGCACAAGACTGCTTTTTCACGGCACTGATTTCTGCACTTCACTATATCTCCACCAGCCCATTGTCACAAATCTAAATACGTAAATGAAGTGGATATTCTATAGATATCCACATACATATCCAAATATAAACAGCAATCAAGCACATGTTCTCCTATGATCACCCAGCTGCACTACCTAATATTACAGTCTGAACTCAAATAGGCTTCCAAAACCAAATTTCAAACCTGTAATTATCATTGTAAGGGAAAGCTGTGCTCAGAGCATTCTTTGTTACTCTTCTGTATTTTTTCCCAAGCTTTAGGCAACCACCCACGCTGAAAATCTTCTCTGTTTAGAAAGGCTTGCAGAAATAAAAAGTGAGGTAGAGTACAGGCTTTTAACAGCTAGTCCATTATGCCAGTAATAACAGGAAAGTCTCCTTTTCCTAAGCTGGTATTTGCAGAAAAGTGCAGAACCTGGAAGAATATACTGTTTTCCATAGTGTATGGTTTCTCATCCTTTAAATACCAACACAGGAATTGCTTTTACTATTTCCACATCCAAAAAGACAGTCTGGAGTGACATGTTTGCCTGTTTACCCCGTCCTTCTTGTTGCAGTTTGCAGTGCCACTACTGACATTTCAAACTGGCACTGCTATAGAAAGAGAGTAGAGCCTCTCTTTTCATGCCAATGTCTCAATGCAACATGACACTGTCACCTTCTGAAATTGGAACTTCCTCCTTCCAGAAAGTTAAAAAGCTAATTTTTACTGAAGTAACTTCCCAAGTTTAACAAACTGTCAGCTGACTGAAGCTACACATAAGATTTCAGTCTAAAAAAAAAAAAAAGTCTACTTTTCAAATTTTTATTACAAAGACTATCAGATGAATGATAAAAAAGCAAAGCTCTGGTTGATAACCTTAGCAAACAATTCTCCTAACAGAAAATATGTACAGCTTCTAAGAAAAACCACTATTCATATCTGAGTTTTGCATTTTGCTTTGCACTATAGCAATGAAACCTTATCCATAGGTTTAATTTTAGCTTCTTTATTTTCTTTCAGAGCCAGACATGCTCCCAGTGCATTAATAAAATTTTTCAATATTTGAGAATAAAACAGCTCAGGACATTATTTACATGCTGCCACCACAAGATTTAGGATAAACTAGAAAGGGTTTTAAATGAAAAATTACTTTAAAAATACTATTTTATTAATGTTTTCTTTTAGATTAAGGCAGACTTCTATGTTTAAAGACATCACCTATACTAGAATGAGGGGTCTATGACACTTTATACCAGTTTTGCCTTTTAATTATGCAAGAAACCTACAGTACTTTTAAACCAGTTAATCTACCCTTAATTCACTTTTTGTTTGGACCTTATACTACACATTTTTTGGAAATCTCAACTCAATTAATAAAATATACTGCAATCAATATGAAATGACTAGAGCACACAGAATACAAACACCTTTTCAGAAATACAACTAGACAGTTCAGTCTGCAGGATGCATGATGAATAATGAAGCAGAAGAGAGCAATAAAGCAAGGTTACAAAAATCCCTGAAAGTCTCACCTTAGTATCTTTCCAGGTCAAGAACAACAATCTATTTAAATTCTATTGCAGTTCCAAAGAAATATTGGTATCTTGCCTGACTTAGACCTTTACAGTGGAGTTTTGAGTGTCTGCTGACTACCTGCCCAGTTTGATGGGTGTGCTCATCTCTAATGCCTTCTCACAAGATTTGTCTGAACGAAAATTTCCTGGGACAGAACTCCTCTAATCAGACAAGAATTTAAGCTAGTCAGAAAACATCCTGGTGAGCAGATTTCAAAGAAAAATAAATCTGCAAAACTTTTTCAAGGGTCTATACAGAGGGATTTCTGTTCTGGTAACCTCTCACATCACCAGAGCATTTTAAAGCAATGGTTGTGGAGCTGAATTACAAGTTCCATAATCTCAAGAAATTTCTATCCATACAGTAACTCCAAAGCATGCTGCCTCAAAACACCTAATCCCATCAGTGCACAGACCCATAACCTCCTCTTTCTCAGGCCTTCTAGTATGACAGCTGTCAAGATAAAATTAAGGAAATTAACATACCAAAAAAAAAGCTATTATATCTATCCAGCTACTCTCACTAAGCAGGAATCAGAGTTCCTTATCTTATAACATCATTGCTTGGTGTGGTAGCTTTGCAAGCCAATTAATTTAGTTTACAGAAAATTTCAACAGCAAAACCAAAGGCAGACAAAATAATAATTCAAAACACAAAAAATAAATAAGTAAGCCAAAGTAATTAAACCATTTCACCCATCAGAAATTATTCAGGATAGCTATCAGATAATGTGAGCTACTGTATTGTTTGCTAGGGTGCCAAACAACTAATGCCTCCCTTTCACAAATGGCCTATAAATCAACCTGAAAAAAGAGCCATTAAGCAATGTTTATTTTAGCCTTTGCTTCCTGTTGGCATCAATTTTGTTATGAAAAAAAATTTGGATGAGTAACTGTCCAAAATAACTTTTTTCTTATTCAGGTAATTTCTGTATGCGGTTATCCACACAAACCTTATGTAGTATATGTCCATAAAATATGGACACGAGTGTTCAATTGCTTCAGTCAATGAAGCATTTGTCAACAGAGAAGAAGCATTAACACCAAACTCTTTCTCCCTTTCTATTGGTGAACACACTAATGCAAAAAGAAAAAGGGAACTAAAATAGATTTAGAAATGTATTGGCCAGTTAGATGAAATCAATACTTGCTTCATGACTGTGTGTAAGCTAAGTGGAAGATGTAGAAAGAGAACCTGGCAGATGGTGAGACAGAAATCTAAAAGCCAGCTTTCAGAAAATGCTGCTCCCTCATTTTCCCTCTGGTTCTTCTGGAAATGTTATGTGGCTGTTTTAGATATTATATAAAACACAATGAACATATTTTTTAATGGAAATAGCATTTTTTTTTTCTACAAGGATCACTATTTAATCTGTGTATCACCTGCAGCCTGTTAATCTTACCTTCAGAGCACCACACAGCTCAACTGCATCTGCATCATCTACTACAGTTATTCGGAAGTTTGGAGTCTGCAGGAGTTCTTTGAAGAGAAGGCCATTTTCCAAGATTTTGCAGCCTATTGAGAGAGAGAAAGGAAAGCTAAAAAAAAAGGAATAATTTATTTGGATGTTATTTAGCCTTTCCTGTGCAAGGCAAAATGCCTAAAAGCAGAGATAAGGTTGTTCTATCTTAATCCTAAACAGAAATCCTATTCTAAGGGACCAATCACATTGACATTGCACTTAAAAGCTCTGCACTGAGTTATTCAGGACTTTTTCACCATTTATTGTCTGCTCAGCAACAGGTTCTAAATAAAAAATCCTTTAATTCACTGTCCATTATTGATCACTGTCTTTAAAAAGAACAGCAAATAATAAAACAGAGATGAATTAAGAATATAGTAGGAGCAATTGTACCAATTATTTCAAAGTCAGCACTCCAAAAAATACCTACTGATAAAGGTATGTCAAAGCTGCTTTATTAATCAAGCATGCTGCCCCTGACAATTGGTTTTAAACACTAGGATGCTCTTCGACCATTCAAAATTAAGTTCAATGCAAAAGCTGTGAATGAGATGTTACAAAGCTAGCAGTGCACAAAACTCTAAAAATTAATAGTGAAAAAAAAACATAATATGAACTCTGTGCTATAAAGTATGAGTATGTATGAGTACCTGTATGCATATACACACACACATGCCTTTTTAGAAACTGTAAAACCCAAGACTAGGCACATCCTCATGCTGCAAAGGTGTGCAGACATCAACACAGAACTAAAACAATTTCTAGTTTTTGTGGGAATGAAGTATTTTGAGAAATTAAAACAAGATACCTTAACAAAACAAACAAAAAAGTCAAACCAAAACAAACATGCATGAAAGTACTATCTTTGACAATAGCATCTGAGCTGGAGTACAGAATTTATAATTGTTTATCCATGTAAAACCATTCAGACCCAAGAAAAATCTTAAACACAGTAATAAAATGAAGCAGTTTGTTATATGAAGGGTGACAAAAAACATGCTTGTATTTCACATGGTAAGGTTATAACCCTAGTAAGAATAGGTAAAATTGTGCTCTTCTCTCTCCCTCTATTCCCAGTATTGTCCTAGTACTTTTGGAAGTATAAACATTCTAGGAAATTCAACCAACAGCTTCTGGTAATAGTCAGCTACTGTTGAAAACAGTGAAATTTGAGCTATTCAGTGTGCACCTGTGAGGACAGGTGCATGTTTTAAATATTCTTACAGCGTGGAACAGTACCTATTGTGGTTTCACAGAATTTGTCTGCTGCCACCTCATTGGCAATGTTAGCTCCCATCAGCACACTGATGTCTATTCCCATCTTCTCTCGAATAATGTCAGAGATCAGTTTGAGTCCCTCCGGGCCTTGATCTATTCCCTGCAGCCAACATTAAATGGAATTACTAAAAAGTCATTCATTAGGCACAGTAGAGATGCAAGCAGAACACAATTAGTCTTGTCCACAGGTGAGAAGTGAAACAAGGACTATTCAGACAGAGACTAAAGATGACAGGTGTATTACCACAGGCACTTCTGCTATTTTGACCTCTCCAAGATGTCTTAGAATTTTAGGAGGTAGCACCTTAAAAATTAGGACTAAACTCTAATGCTGAAACCAGTTTCAATTCCATCCTCAAAGACCTGATTTTAAGAAGTGCTGAATATTCTGCTTTGTTAGTTCAGAAATCAGGGGCTTATTACCAGTATATCCTCAATCAGTGAAGCATAACCAATTTATCAGTTATGAACCAGACCTGAACTTAAATTTGAAATTGCACTGAAACTCACAAAATGGTATCAGAATAATTTGTTTTGTGAAGAGATATCTGAACTGAAATATAAGAGGCAGGTTCCCCAGTGTATAACCAACAACAGTTTAGTAGCAGAAATACAAAAGGAACAGCCATTCATAGACATGTAGAAAGCTGAACAACTGAGAATAATTTAATTTATATGGATATTTTTAATCTGTATTTATAATGCACTCTTTACAAAGTGTGAAAAAGGGCAGAAATAGGGCCTTAGAAAAGATCACCCCACATATTAATGCTGCAGAGAAGAAGAGAGTCTGGTACCCTGAACTGCCTGAACTAGAACTCCAAATGAGATCACCTTCTTCCCATAAAACTCTTTTCTCCCAGCCTGCTAAACGCAGAATCCTTTTCAGCTTTTATTACAGGGGTATGCAGACCAGCTATTGAAATAGCCATTCTTTCCCACAATATACCACCTTTTATACAATACTTTTTTTTACTGCTGAGGAATTTTAGGAATTAGTAATTTTGAATCATGATTTACAGGCAAAAAGTGTGATCCTGTATTACTTCCATATACACATATACATACACACTTGTATGCTGCCAGTAGTGACATTTCAGGCAGGCAGTAATTTCCACAGGTTAGAGGTACTGCTCCTTAAATAACATGGTGCAATGAAGAGATATGCAGAAATGCCTGTATAAAACCTGCCAATTAAACTAATGCTTGCATTTCTGCATTATTTTTCAATTTCTATTGCTTAATGCACAGCTCTGCTTTCTCATCTTTAATGAGCCATACAGAAACAACTTGAAAGCAAGCACACAATACATGTTACATTTTTCCCTCAGAGTGCCAAAAATGTCCCCACAAAATAACTGTAAGGCCCCTCTTCCTAGCAGGCAAATAATAAACAGAAAAGCATGCACACATTGGGAACAACTCCAAAAATGTAAATACCTACACAACAATTATTCATGCAAGTGAAAGGAGAGCTGAAAGGCTTAGGTGCCAGATTCTGCTCCATTGTGAAACAGATGCAACTCCTGACAAAGTCAAGGTGAGCTGTTTCTTGTAGAGTTAAATCCAGTACTGAATGACAGAATAAAAACTAAACACCCCTTCTTTCCTCCCTGCAAAACCAAGGCTCCACCATGGGCATTTTCACTGGGCAGCAATGGTCTGCAAAGCCTCATTGCTTGCATCCTAACATGCTTGTCAGAGCAATCCCTGGAGGCTTTAACCAGGAAATCAAAATGAGGCTGATGTTGAGCTTGCCAGAAGAGTATTTTGAATGACTTTCAGCTAGCCTGCATCCTATGCTCACTGCTGTACTGCACTCTAAGTTTTATATGGCTCTTCTCCCCACAGCCACACAGTCACTTGTAAGGTTTTCATAGACAAAGAGCTAATGTAAAACAACACAGATGCAAAGTTTTAATGGAAATTACTATTAAACAGCAGATAAATGTCTTTATTTCCCAGAGACTCAGTTTTATTGTCAGACGTTAGGCTCTGCATGAAGATTAGACTGTCAGAAAGAAAAAAAAACACCAAAAAACCAAAAACAAGAAAAAGACTAAAAGATGACACACTGCTAACTTGACAGGCAATTTAGAAAGCACAGAAACAAGACGTCCCACGAATAATATTTTTCAGAGCAGAACTGCACTTTAACTATCAAACTTAACACAAGCCACTTTAACAGCATTAGCATTGAGCATGAGACCCAAAAACTATGACACTGATGAAAACAGCATGTCTAAAGAATATGCAAAAGTAAAGGAAAGAATGTTGTGTTAAATCTCTACCATTTCTTCTCAAATGATACTTTTAATGATGTTATGTTATGCCTTTTCAGTTATACCTTTTCATAAAAACTGACAGATACTTTGTATTCTCCTGCAAAATATTAAGGGGCCTCACAGCATTTCTTTGGAAAGGCTGCCTATGGATGCAGTGTTGCAATGTGACTGTGGGAAGCTGCCCAGTAACCAACTCTGCACTGCATGGCAAGTGCCACAATTTCACTTCTACCACCACACTAAGCATGGACTTTTTGTTTTACTGGGGGTTTCTGTCTGTTTGGAGTTTGACTTTTTTTTTTTTTAATATAAGTATTTCTTCCCCTTCCATCTCCCCCCCCCTTTTTTTTTGTGTTTTTTTTTTTGTTTTTTTTGTTTTGTCAAATATAGCCATTAATCAATACTCCATTAGAGAACCGGTAATTAGTACTCAGAACAGCAATTCCAAAGGAATATAGGCCCCAGGACCCTGACTTCACATATGCTGACATAAATGCTTGTTTAATCAAGCAATTTCATTAGTTACTCCTATCACTAGGAGAACACAAATCACATTTAGGGAATTAAAGGAGAATAAAGTTTATTTCGAGCACTTTTAACAGTGCCTTATTTTACCCTTCTATGATATGAAGAGTTTTGCTACAATTTGGAGTAAGAACACTTTGGAAGCATTTCATACCCCTCAGCAACACACCAGTTAGCACTGACAAAACAATAGATTTTGTGGGTTTCATGAGCCAAACTAAAGAGACAAGCTTGCAGTACGCAGTGATAGAGGTTTTTTGTTCTTTTTTGAGCACAGATACATAAATGTATGATTTTCCAGAGATGACAGGAAACAAGGGAATGTGTGCCGAGAAAATGGCCTACAAGGCAACAACAAACCAAAATCTTCCAAACCTTGTGGGAATAGCTTATTATTTTCAGCTAAACATACAGAGGAAGAAAGCCCACCCAAAAACAATCCCAAAACTAAGCTAATCCACATTCTAAAATTTTTCTGCCAGCAAAACTACAAACACTCCAATGAAATGCCTCCCACATCTCTGCCCTTTCCTATTTCCTATGCTCAAACTGTCTTTGGGTTATGCTGAACAGACTCTCTTGTTGCAACATAATATCTGACATGAACAAGAGCACTATCCTCTCAATCACATGAAAATCTCTCAGCAGTTCTTGAAATTATCAACTCAGCATGTGGGATGTGCATTAACAATCAAAGCATTATGCTTGTGCTCTGCTCTTCATCTAATGATGCTTTTGGAAATAACAAATAAAACACTGGAATGCTTAGTGGTGCAACACATATCGACTCCTTTCTTCCTTTCTAAGTCTTGTGAAGAGCCTAATTTTCCTCTTCCTGCAAGCACTGTGTAACAACCCACTAATGACCAAGACAAATTCTGATCTTACACCTAGAAAGGTTTAATGGACCAATCAAGTGAATAACGCACGGAGACTTTGCATATCAAAATACCAAGTCACCTTGTCTTAGAAGATTCCATGACACATTCTCAGTCATTAATGCAGGGAATTTATTGTACCTTTATGAGAGTTATGCCGAGCGCTTTCGTGGGTACTTGTCCTGTGATTTCATCACAGACTTTATGGATGTACTGATGAGGAATGACAAAAACCAGCAAGTCTGCATTCTGTACCGCTTCACGAAGGTTCGGGATAGCAACCTGGGTAGTTATGGGAGAGAAAGGCTGCATAACTTTCCAAAATTAACACTACATACAAGTGGTATCTGATACAAGTAGAATCACAGAATCAATTAGTTTAGAAAAGACCTCTAAGATTATTGAGTTCAACCTTGGAACAAACACCACCCAGCCCACTGGACCACAGCACTGAGTGTCACACCTCTCCTGTCTCAAACACCCACAGGGTGACTCCACCACTTCCCTGAGCACCCCATCCTAATGTTTAGTCACTCTTTCTGTGAAGAAATCTCTCTGAAGGCCCAAACTGAATCTCCCCAGTTTGATCTCGAGCAGTTTGGTCTCATGCTGATTGCTACAAACTACTGCATTTTGTCACTGAAAATAAACAGTAGCACAGACTTCCCAGACCCACAGCTCCAATCCAAGGTTGAGGCCAATTTTTTTTTAATGGGTATAGTCAAAGCTGTTAATCTTGCTCTTGTTTTCACACTTGCTTTCTTGTACAGAAATTGAAGTAACATGAAGACCAATAGTGAGAGGAAGAAAGAGTTAATTGGATTTACTTAACTGCATAATTACATAATTTTACTTGTTCAAGTTTTTGATGACATCAGTAAAATAGCATAGTCTGAAATATTATAGACCCTAGAGGTGTTAACAAAACAAATTTCTAAGTCCATTTACAGTACAAGCAATATTCCCTCTGCTCCATAACTATAATTTAGCTTTTGAACCTTACCACATTATCTGGCAGCTTGCATCCAGGGAGATACTTTACATTTTCATGATCCGTATTTATGATATCTGTCAGTTTTCTCCCATTAATATTCTCCTCGAAGACCCACATATTCACTGTGGGAGCAAACTTCTGCAATTTTTTTACATTATTACCTATTATTTTGGCAACTGCAGAACCCCTGCACAAAAGAAAAAAAAGAGTATTAAAAAATTATGATTTCACTGTTTCACTGCAGAAAAAAAACCCAACTTTTTTTTAAAACAATCACAAATGCGGGAATTTTTTTTTTTTATTTGACCAGCTACCATAAAACATTTTGATCTAGTAAAATAAGTGGAAAAATACACTAGTCATTCACACCTGCTGCTGTCTCTCAACTACAGCTAGAGTAGGTTGGACTGAAGCATTTACTGAAATATCCTTACTTATTTTGTTTTCTTATCGGCTATCTGCTGAGAGTTTAAGTTACTGTATTTCTGCAAATCAAATTAATTGTATCTTCAAAGCTGAGGTAAAAGTGACATACTAAATTTTATTAAATGTGTCATTTTCACCTTCAAGAGATGAGAAGCTTCTTTGCTAAGATGACTGACTCATAAGTTGTTGTACAATACTGATAGGCGTTGAATGCCAAGAATCTATATGTTCCAAAAGTTATAAGCTCCATGGCTGTGCAGCCAACCTCACAGAACTAAACTATTCTAACAGCATCCTCTGAAACTACAGGCAGACAAGTCCATTAATGTTGCCCTCATACTCTCCCCAAAAACAGCATACAGGGAGATCTATATTACAGTGATCAATTTTACTTCTCAAATCTCTAAGCAATAACAGAATTAATCACAATTACAATAGGAGGAAGAATACAATCTTCCCTTTCATCATTCTATTAAACCTGTTAACCTAAGTTCCTTTCCTGGAATTGGAGGTAGCTTCATAATTACTGATAACCTACTAAGGAGACACACAAATTTTTAAGAGATAAAAATACAGAGTAATGATCTGAGGCTAGTGTGTGTGTGTGTGTGTGTGGGTGTGTGTGTGTGTGTGTGCAAACTGCACACTTTACTAGGAGGTAAAAACATTAACTTTTCCAGTCTAGTTATACTCACACAATCCCCTAAATTTATATTAGACATTACTTGTAATAAACCCATAGCTGGCAACTGAACAAAGTGGGTTCATTCTGCTTCAAGAGCTTTTGATATGGCACAACTCATTGGGCTGTATTAAAGATGTGTGCTAGCACATGGCTAAGGTCACTTTCTAAGCTGCAGCAGAAAAAATTTAATACCCTAAGTGACCTTTTATAGTCAAACCATAAAACTGTGTGTCTTAAAAGACTGGGATTTACTTCTCTAATAGCACTTCATACACTAAAAATGCCCCTAGGTTCAGGAGGTGATACAGAATACAATTGCAAGCCATCTCCTATCAAGCTCATCCAGCATGGTTTCTGCTGCCCTGCTGTACAGCTCACCAGCTCAGCCTCCAAATGTCAGATCCATACAGACAGCAGACCTCACACTCAGCACAGCACAAGTATGTGTTCCTCAGACAGTGCTTTGAGTTCCTTGAACAAAAGCACATCTACTCCTACAGATTTATATATGAAGTTGGGATCCTGGCAAACCCACTGCCTTCTGCTTTCAACTTCACTACAAATTCTCTGTGCTTGCTGGTGATAGAGCAAGACAGAAATAACTGATTCAGCAACTCTCTGACTGGGATTTTTAGTCTGCCAGCAGAAAGTCTGGCAGTGTGTACTACTTATGTGAGACATTAATTCCATTACTATTTAACACTTAAATGCCTGTGCTTTTATTTTTCATCCTATGAATGCAGTATTAGGAAAAGTGAAGATCTGCCTAGTCTTAGTTTCTGAATTCAAGAAGATTCTCCTAACTGGCTTCTCTGGCACATCATTTCCCATGATGTTGCAACCACTCTTTTAGGACCATTTCCCAGTTGGCCTGCTTTCCCCTTATCACTTTTTAACTAAAGTACAAAGCCAAAAAGCTCCTTAACTTGCCCTGATAACAGCAGCAGTGGAGGTCACAACACACAAGTGCAAATGATACAATTATCTAGCTCTACCATTGTCCCTGTAAAATGACCTCAGTTAAGCCACAGTTCCTCCCAGTTTCCTACAAATTCTACCTGCATAAAAAAACCCCGCTGTCCAGTAACTTCCCATCTCTTCCAAAATTTTATGGTTTCTGTTCAAGTTTGGCAATCGGGTTACATAAAGGCTGGTTCCAAGAAAACAGTGAGGGATAAATTGTGGCTGTGCTCACCTCATTAACCTGCCCTGGAACTGTTATCAGAACAGGCTACAGTACATGATCAAGGCAGTGCTTGCAGTGCTTTAAATGACTCTGGGCACTGTCCTGGAATCCCAGGGCTCCAAGGCATATTCCCAGGGTGTACTCTCTCATCACTCCAGACACCTTACTTTATGCCCTGTATTAGCAGATCCTAACAGAATCACTGATCCACCAGCTGAGCAACCCTAAAAGGGCAAGGCCAGCAGACAGCACAGCTCCTGCTCTTCCATGCTGAGCCATCTGTGCTGTCCCATGATCTTCCATCAGGTGTCAAGTGACCCCTGCCAAGTGAACTTCATTGTTAAGGTGACCTTCCTATAGCAAACCAACAAAACAAGTCTGACTGGAAGTAGTTATTTAACCAAGGTGACTGCCTTAACCCTTCTAAAGCTACTGTCCTGCCAAACTCCTTTAGGGCTTTTTTCATCACAGATATAGGTTAGAGGGCTATGAGAAGACTTGTCTGATGGAATCACCTCACACAGAACCCCAAAATCCACTGTCTCCAAACTGCTGAAGATGCCAAACTCAGATCAACTACTTAGGACTTACAATTTAGGCACCATCTATCACACACTCTTATAGTGCAGGCTTCAAAAATATATAATCCCCACAGATCAATGATCAGATGTTTACAAATGCTTCAATTTCCTTCCAGTTACCTGCTTTAATGCATTAAATACTATCACTTTAATTAAATATTTTAGGACCACAGGCCCCAGTTCAAAAGGCACTTACAAGGTATACAAATTTAGTCCAATTTAGTGCAATGGTTGCACATACACAGTGCTCATACACAGAATCACAGTGCTCTTTGCAGGCAGCGTTCGATGTCTGTCATCCCATGGACTTTGAGGAAGAAACCACCCACCTCTCCAAGAATTACTATTTTCAATAGTTGATTACTTTGGTTTCTGCTTTACTCACATGAAAACCCCTGCCATTATATATGAAAGAAGCTCTGAGTTATTTAAATACATTTATCCCCAAAAGGAAGAGAGAATGCTACTATCAGGCAACAGCTTTTTTCCTTCTCTCAGCACAGGAGATATGGGCATTTTGCCACCAACACATGCTATTATATTAGGCAGGAACTTTTCTTATTTATTAAACTAATCCAGTGAGGTGAAAACAAAATACATTTGCATATGGTTATTGCTAGTAGGCAATATCTACAAATCCTTTTGCTTCCGCAAGTGTTTCACAGTGAATCAAATACAAATGGAGTCAAACTTCCTGTGAAACTTTTTCTAGACTTCAACTATAGAACAACAGTCATCACACTCCTAAAAGACAAGGTCTAACTGCATAATTTCCTTGTGATATACAGCGCATTGCACACATTTTGCAAGCTGGTGAAAGGGAAAGCAAGAGATGCTGCACTGAAACATCAGCTATTCCCTCAACAAGGGTATCACAAAGATCACAAAGAAAAATAAAACCTGGCAGCTGCTGGTATTTTTAACAGCAGCAAAAGCCAACTGCATGGAGTGGGCAGGGGGTGAACAACAAGTCTAAGATCATCCTGACAAAAGACTGGCAAATTTGGTTTAATAAAACACAGTGCCTTGCTCTACAAGGAATTCCTCTGAGTTTAATGTCTTAAAAGCCAATGCTACCCGAGTAATGTGTGCTTAGCATTAGTAATTGGAAGTGACAAACTGTGAAGACCTATTTCTATAACACATTGTACTTAATTTATTCATTGTAAAGAGGGATCTGGTGTAAGAAAAAGAAGTAACTAAAGAAGACAAAGGGTTATTAACACGATACTCCTCTGGAAGAATGATGTCAAGTAGGTCTATTGCTTTCAGTGGATGAAGAAGCAAGTTTATTTAAGTCTAATTATAAACTAGAGATAGAGACAGCAATAAAACCTTGTCTCAAGCTTTCAGTGTGCCTCAATCAATTTGGGGGGAAAAGGAAAAGAAGGTATTTCAAATAACCTAGTGTCGCGCAATTTTTTTTAGAACTGACTTTGAAAATAGGCACAGAGCAGAGAAAACCCCGAACACTTCTGTAGACAAGTGAGGTTCTTAGTGGAGCTCTACAGGCAGGGCGTAGTCGAAAAAAAAAAAATTAAAATGTACAGCATCTTTAATGTCTACGTCATCTGATATCGGACAAAGCGCACAACAAACACCAGGTTAAAAATATCCCAGAACAACTTCTTCGCAGGACACGCGGGTGTTTACAAGCACTGAAACTGCGCGCTCGCTTCTGCCGCTTCTTCCTCCGAGTACGTCACGGCAGCACCGAGGCAGCCGGGGGCACGACGAGCCCCCGGGCACGGCAGGACGAGCCCTCCCGCATGGAACAAGCGCGACCCAGAGCCCGCCACGGCCCGGCGACACCGACTTCCACCGCCGGCACCGGGTGGCCTCACGGCCGCCACCCGAGGGGACCGCGGCCGCGGCGCCGGGCGGGAACCGACAGCAAGGCCCGGGCGGGCACCGCCGCCGGGAAAGCCGGGCCGCGGCGGCCGCCGAGGTGCCCGCCTCGCCAGGGCCCGCCGCACTCACCAGTTGCCCGAGCCCACGATGCAGACCTTGAGGGGGCCAGCGGAGAGCGCCATGGCAGCGCCGCCCGCGCCCCGCCACAGCGGCCGAGAGCTCCGAGAGGCGCCCGCCCCCGCTCCCGCCCCGCCGTCAGGGCATGGCCCCTCTCCCTCCGCCCCTGCGGCGTGACGGGAACTGTAGTTCCGCGGAGGGCGCGACGGCTGAGGGTAAGCGGGGCTGTCGAACAAAGCAAGCAATCCCGCAGGCACTGTGGCGTATCACAGAGCCACGGAATCGTTTAGGTTCGAAAAGACTTCTGAGGGCATCGAATGCAACCTATGGCAGAACAGTACAACCTGAGCATGGCACTGAGTGGCCACGTCCAGTCTTTCCTTAAACACCTCCAGCGACGGTGACTCCACCACCTCCCTGGACAGTCCATTCCCATATCTAATCACCCTTTCTGTGAAGAAATTCCTCCTAATGTCCAATCTGAACCTGGCATAGCTTAAGACGGTGTCCTCTTGCTGTATCATTTGTTACTTGGGAGAAGAGGCTGGCCCCCCTCTGGCTACAGCCTCTTTTCAGGCGATTCTAGACATCAATAAAGTCTCCTCCGAGCCTCCTTTCCCCAGCTCCCTCAGCCACTCCTCACAGGACTCATGCTCCTGACCCTTCACCAGCTCTGTTGCCTTTCTCTGGCACGCTCCAGTCCCTCAATGTCCTTCCTGAATTGAGGGGTCCAGAACTGAGCACAGCACTCAAGTTGTGGCCTCACCACTGCCAAGTGCAGGAGAAGAATCCTACTGTCACCATTATCTGCTGAACTAATATACATTTCAGTCATATATGTAACAACAAAACTTCTGCTCTCTCCTAGTGCTACATAGCTTTGGAGTAAGTCTGTGAAGGGTCCCAGGTGTGGAGGAACCAATGTCTCAGGTAATAAAGCAGGTTAGGCCTGGAGAGATCTTAAAAATAGAAATACCAGTGTTTTCAACTACTCCTTTGCCCTCAGCCTTCAGCCAAAATCATATTTTTCTCTGTCCCATGTGCTTCTCCAGGGGGAAAAAAAAGTGGATGTGTTGTTGGTCTGATAGATAGGTGTGAGTCATCTGTGATAAACTTTCCCATCACATGTGTATTTCTACTGACTCTTTTAGCTGTATTTAATAATAAATTATCAAGGAAAGACTGAGGGCTGATCTCGTCATGGTCTGCAACTTCTGAGGAGGGCAAGTAGAGGGGCGAGTATTGATCGCTTTTCTCTGATGACCATGATAGGATCCAAGGAAACAGCAGGAAGCTGGGTTGGGGTTTAGGTTGGGTATTAGGAAAAGGTACTTCACCCAGAGAGTTGTTGAGCACTGGAACAGGGAAGTGGTCACAGTACCAAGCCTACCAGAGTTTAAGAAGCTTTTTGACAAAGCACATGGTGTGATTTTTGGGCCTGTCCTGTGCAGGACCAGGAGTTGGACTCAGTTGGTCCCTTCCAACTCAGCATATTCCATGATTCTATGACAATGCTCTGGTCCCTGTACCAGGACAGTGTCCCCCTCTCTTTATTCAAATTAACCATGTATCAATACAGTACCCTTTTGAGCTTTTCATTACAGCACATTTCTTCATTTGTACCTCTTCCAAATCGATTGCTAGGAGTTAGCTGTCAATTAAATGCTCTTTCAATTAGAGGCCGTTTAAGAAGAAAAGTTGGATTAGCTCTGTTGCCTTTTGAGCCATCATTGCTGAAGCAGTGTGAATTGCTACCTGCTGTTTTCTTTTCAGTTTAAAAGCAGGGTTTTCATTTACTCCATTTACTCCACTGCCAGTTTGCTATCAAATTAAATCATAAGGGAAGAGAAAAAAAACCCCAAAACAACAACCAAAACCAACATGCCTAAAATCCAATCTGCTTGCACTAGTATCTTTATTTCTACTGCTAGCTCTCCCTAATGTGGAGAAAGCCCTCATCTCATTGTTTGAGCCCAGTGAGGGAGTGTTTTTCTTATCCTTGCTTTAGGCATTCAGAGACCAGAGTTGATAATATCTGGCCTAGGTTTTGAGGGATTGAGGAGGGGATAGTTCCATAAAATTGAGTAGTGAGTGACTGGAATCTAAATGCTTAATGAAATAGGGAACTGGGTATTATGCAAAATGTAGATCCTGAATATGAGCACTTCAGGATAATTTTGAGAGTCTGGACAGAAAGGTTAAAGTCTTCATTAGTCTTAATGTGAAATAGAAAATACAGACAAATTATAATTTCTATAGATTTTCTCAAAAAGCTGACAGTTCTTCAACAGTCTAGAAGGCTATGGTCCATCAGCCTGCAGCATACTGTGAGGATGTGTGTGTACTTCTGCATTTTACATAGAACTTCCATTGTCTCACTGGCAGCCTGCAACCTAAAATTTAACATGCATTTACACCATGAGCTAAACTGTACTCTACTTAGACAGATCACGTTTACACAAACGTGAAAAAAAGCCAGAATATAAACACATATTCATCTTGAAGAATCCTCAGATGTATTGCAGAAGTACATTGTGCAGGTCTACTGTGCCACTTTAAATTTTACAGAACAGAATAAAGTAAAATAGTTTTCAGTTGGAAGGGAACTACAACAACCATCTAGTCCAACTGCTTGATGAATTTAGGGCTGGTTAATTTAAACTGCTTCTGAGGTAAGAATGGCCAATCATTTAAATAAAAGCATTGCATACAATGGAAAAGAAAAGGCAAGAAAGAACTTTTCTACTGTTAAAACAAGTGCTACCAGATCATTAATGTTAGCAACAATACAAGATTTTCTTTTATGCCTTGTCTGCAGACTCAGACAGCTGTGTTCAGGCAATCTAGTTATACTAACAGAAGGTACTGTCCTCCTATCCTAGTGGGCCAAACTGACCCCAGATGGAGATTTTAATCTTTTTCTCAAGGCTGGCAGAAGAAATTACATGTCAGTGGCTTGAGTTCAGTCTGACACCTCACTGTAAATTGGTAATGAGAAAAGTCAGGAGCAAAGGCAATCTGAAAGGTAATCTCAGGGAAATCAGACTTGCAGCATCTTTCATAAAAAATTGCATCCTGATGGTGTAGCTGTGACAGTCCAGGTATAATCAATTAATTGAAGTCACAGATACATCCGTATTCCATTCTCCTAAGCCTTGTAGAGCAACCAGCCAAAGGGAAGTGACAGACAGATGGGTTGTAATAGATAAGTCAAACAACTGTTTGCCTGAGTTATGGGTTTTATGGCCTTCGGATACTGGGCTTTGTATGGAAGCAGCTGCAGCAGGAGCACATGTTCCCTTATGCCAGCCTTGCTATGGCAACAGTAGGAGCTCCTCTGACAGGTGAAGCAGGCAGCTGGGTTTGTTAAACCACCACTAAGATTTGACACATTGGATCTGTCAACATCCCAAAGTACTAAGTCAATATTAACTTTATTTAGTGCATATCAGAAAGCAGCTGCAAGTGTGGTACCCATAATTCCATTACAGGAAAAAAAACAAACAAACAAACCACCAAGTTTGTTAACATAAAAAATACATTTTGTATCACTGTTCTTGTTTTCCAGTTTTCTTCTGCTTGTGAGTGGTTTGTAGCTCCAGTATGAGTAGACATAAATCTATTTCTTTTCTTCAGTGCTTCCTTTGACTTCACAGACGGTGATAAAAAACACAGCATGGATTGAGCAATAAATAATAAGAAAAAAGCAACTCATGAAAGGACAGCATAAAGCTCTGATACTCTTTAGTTGCATGTTCTAGACTACTTATAGGCAGAGTCACTGTGCTTACAGCTTAATGTATTGATCTGTTTTAACTATTCTAGATATTACTAGGATGCCTGTTCCTCTTTTTTTGGGGAGTTCTCTGTCTGATGATCCAAGTGTCTGACAAGCTCCTTTCAAAACTCAGTACCCAGAGATAATAAGATACGTCAGTGCTAAGCTACAACTGCAAAGAGTCCTGTACAAAGCAGAAACATCTGGCAAGTGCAAAATACAGAAGAGCTACAGTAATATAAAATATTTAGCTTCAATTGCAAGTTTTGGGAAAAGAGTCCTGTTTATGTACTTGGAAATTTTCCCTTTAATTTTCTTTGTTGATTTTCTTGTTGAATGCATTAGAAAGGTTTTCTTAGGATCTAATTACATGCATTAAATAGCAGTTTTCTTTTAGTTTATTCTTAGTGTTCTGCACAAAATGCAAGAATCTGAGTTACATGTAATTAGAAAATTATTTCACCAGAACCTGTTAACATCTTGAAACACATTTTGAGTAATTCTAAATTCTGATGATATTCTAGGAATTTTTTTTAATGTATGTGCTGTTAGAGTGTGGGACTTATAAAATTCTGTGACTCCTTTAGTGCTGTAAACTCCTGTCTATGGATATGGATTAAGCAGCATAGCTTAGCCTTTCTGAGTAGGTGACCTCAAGGGGAAGCAGATTAAGATATAATAATACTTTCTTAAGGCACCTCAGTTTCTAAAGCATCTCAAATACAGACCTGAGGATGAGGTCCTGCCTAAATGAAACAAACACAGAAGTAACAGAATAAGTAAATTTAGAAAGTCCCAGTCTTTGACTCTTGAAGGTGTACAGGATGAGAAGGAGTTAGGTTTGACTTTTAGCTTTTGGGATTTTATTCCCAGTGACTTCTGGGTAACTTTGAAGTCCTGCAAAAAGAAGTGGAGGTGAAGGCCAGGAAATGCTAAGAAGCACAAACATTTTACCTTCCCTCCCCTTCACATCCACTCCCTATTCATTCTTTCTTCACATAACCTGTTTTCCCACTTCTTATCTGTGCTTATTTTGTCAGGTCTCCTCAACTTTATTAAAAGGTTTGTCTTTCCAGTCCTGTTCTATTTTGACTGCCGAATCTGCATTTTTGAGGATAAAAAGTTAACGAGGAAAGAAAGGTGATTTGTGGGTTAAAATCTGTTTTGCTTTTCCTTACATTGCTTTGTGTTTAAAGGACTACCCACCTCCTGCAAGCACCTTCAAAATAAGTCAGTCTTCTAAACAGATTACACCTCTATGCTCAAAGAAGAAAGAATGTTTTGAGCTCTATCATATTGCATTTTGGCAGACCTTACAAGATTAATACAATTTTAATCTAGCTGTGAACCTAGGTCAAGCACAGATTATAAAGCATAAA